GGGGTAGTGGACATTGATTAGTGGCCAGCTTCGAACTTCGCAGGTACACGGCTTATGTGCCAGTTCCAATAAGCCGTGAATTCAGACCACCTTGCTTTGGTACGACTAGTTCAGAAACGAGTTGAAAGTCGTTGATTTGTGAACACTCAGCAGAGCATGGTGCTCTGACGTGGCCATAAATGAAAGCACCAGATGTTCGACCATGCCCTCTGACGCAAGCGTGATTTAATACTGTAATTTGTCTTGACCACCAGCTCAAGGTATAGACTCAGAAAATAACTGAAACCGGGTGATATGAAAATCAGCATGATCTGATTTTAGTTTTTAACGGCTGAACGCACCTTTCGACCGACCTCCTGGTTGTGCACTGTGGCCAGGTACTTCACCTCACGGTTCTGCAAGAACTTCTTCTTCAACGACCGGTCGAGAAAGTCGCGCCCAAACAACAGGCCGTAGCGGACGTTGTCCGAACAGCCGCCCCAGTGCCACTTCTCGTTCGGGTCCCGGGCGGCCAAACCTTGTTTGCTCATGTCACAGCTGCAGTCGGACAGGTTTCCGGCGGTGCAGGCACTGACGACGGCGATCACCATGCCGGCACTGGTGATCGCCTCGATAAACGACGCCTCCTTGTTGGCTGAAATGACGGTGTATGAACAACTCTTGAGAAAACGGTCATCGGCAAGATTGTGAAGCAACGCACAACAGGGCTCCAAACCGTAAGGAATCGTACCTGCTGCGAGAGTGCTGCCGAAAAGGTCGATGGCCGAGTCGTTTGCGGTCGGTGTCGTGGTACAATTCCATCGCTCGAACCGGAACTGCCACTTGCATTCGCCGATCGCGTCGCGCACCCCGTGACCGATGCTGACCATCGACAGCGGGTGCGACGTGCATATCTTGCGCTGCTGTTCGTCCAGGTACGACAGCGAGTTACACTGCTGGCCGTAGTGCTCGCTCAGCTTGCTACGAGGGACGTGCGACTGAAGGCCCGGGAAAGTGAATGGCTGACTGACGGCCAAGTACCTAAATCGAAATACACGCACAGTCTTGACTGCTAATCGTGAAACATGAACACGAAGAAAGTTATGAATGATGACATCGCCACCAAAACGAGAAACAATAATTTCATAGGGCTGACGAACCGAAACAGTGGAGTGGTTCCTTTAAAATTTTCGTTCCTAGAGCACGTCCCCCGAAACCTTTGAAGTTTTAGCTGATGCACCTTTAGTCGTTCACCAAGGCAACAATTACGACCTACCTACGTATTTTTTATATGCCTTTGCTACATGACGTTTCCGAACTATTCGCCTGGTCTGCTAACGTCATGTACTGCGCTTTTTGCGTTATAGAATGGAAAATAACCCAATTGGCCGAAGCCCGTTAGATTCGTAATGGACGACAAAAACAGTCGGTCACAGACGCCCCCTCGTGACAGGTCAAGAAATTTACTCGCTGGCGGAAATCATCTTCTTTCCCTTTAGAGACGATGGTCGTGAATGAAAGATTTTCACGGCTTTCGACTATATCTTAATGAGGCAAGTAAGAATTGGCTACGGACCAATTAAAGTTGGACAAAAGCCAACAACTGTTTCTTCTAGATTTCCCTCGATTTCACGTTGTGCATGAAATATTCGCTGACCTCTAGGCAGAAAGCGTTCATGATTGTGTGCATCCTCTTAAAAAGCGTCTTGCGTTTTCACCTCCCTGACTGAAGTCCGTTTGAGTTTCAAGGTAAGCCATTGCCATTACCCCGTTAGAAATGTGAGTATTCGAATGTCACGACGTACACTCATTTTGTGATTACTGCCATTCCATTATACCCTCTTGGAATCTACGTCACTGACGTGTAGCCCTTTTCAATCAAGTACGCAATTCATGCTCCCATCCCACACAACAATAATTCTTATGATAACCTGAAAGAGCTGACGGGAAAAATGAAGTCAGCTGATCGACCTCAGTATGCAGTGTAAGCCAATTCTGCCTGACCAGAATATAATCCAAACTGAGGGTTTTTGACGCAAGCCTATCGATTCATACCAGTAATAGCATAATGATACGTCATATCGTTGTAGACAAACAATAGATTTCTAAAACCTCTCAGTATAAAGTGAAAGATCGATGGATGATTTCAAAACAATTTCTGTACAGGATAGAAAGTAATCTGACATTTTCTAATTGCATTGTCGTAAATACGTATTGACGTGACGGGAGGGTGGGAGAGGGGACTGGGACTCCGACTGCCATGGCACATAGCTGTCAAA